AATTTTTTAAAAATCAATATATATATATATATATACATATATTATATATGTATTATATATTATCAATATCTATATTTATATATATAAAGAAAAAGTTATACAATATGTATAGATATGTAAAAATATTTACAACATATTAATAATTAAAATTATATTTTCTATGCTATTTTAATTTAAATTAATAGTATTATTTATTTATTGAAAAATGTACTAACAATCCTTATATTTTACATTTCTAGATAAATTTTTGAAAATGTTTATCATGTTTTACTCTTTTGGTCTCTTAAATGTAAATAGATTTAATGATTTATAAAAACGAGTATTTAATTTGATAGTTATATTTTTTAATGTTGATTTTTTTTTGTTTTGTGCAATCACATATTTTTAACTTCATTGTATTTATTAAAAAAATGTTCGTTTGATAAGCTTTCGTCAACAAAAATGTTATGCAATATGCTACAAAAGTTCAATTTATATCAAATTTTTTAACCAAAAAACTTTTTTTTTCCATAAATTATAATTGTTGAACTTAAATTATTAATACATGAAATTTCATTTTTTTAAGTTTGAGGGTGATATAGATTCTAAGTTTTTAAAAACTTGATGATGCACATTTCGATATTTATATCTATAATAAATATATTTTTATATGAAATAAGTGTTTTGACTTAAATTACAAATTCATTATTTAACATTTAAAATTGGACCCTCTGAAAGAAATTCCTAGATCCGTCACTGAGTTCGGGCAGTGCATTTATCGAGTTTTTTAACATACGATTACATACACATAAACATATATTGCTATTAGTGCTTGTTGATTAAACGATAAATTTTTTTTAAGAATAGTGACCTCATCGATAAGTATGAAGTTCTTTTTTGCGGGGGAAAGAGAAGAAGTTAATTTTATTAAATAGAAAGTAATACTACAAAATCCTTTTAGTGTTATTCTGAAATAGCTACGTATTCTGTATGACGTACGGTGAGTCAATATTAACCTTAATTTTATAAATTATATGTTAGTTTATAGTAGCATATTTTACCATTGGAAGTGAGATGAGTTAGCGTATTTTATATTTTATACTATTTATTTATTCATCTCATTTTTTTTCTTTTTTTTTTTTGTATAGTTTCCTCGTTTAAGCTTATGTTGATTAATTAGATGTCCAAATCTAGTTAATCTATTAAGTAGCAGAATAATTTTTGTAGCCGTGATCGTTTAAATTATTTCTAACCTTTTAGCCTTTGTTTAAGCTTATTACGATTAATTGGGTGGCTTCGTCTAATTAATCTAATAAGTTGTTTAAATCTATTATTTCTCGTCAATCGTTAAAATCATTCACCCGTCGTTGTTCAATTTAAATTCGTTCGTCGAATCGTTTGGAAATTCCTTGTTCAATCGCATAGGTCTATTTTCGAGTCATTTCCAATTTTTCCTTGAACTATGGACTCGGCGTTTCTAAGAATCATTCTCGGCCATTTCTAGCACATATGTTCGGCCCAATGGAGCCCAGCCCTTGGAGCATTTTTGGCTCCATGACATCTCTTAAAAATTCAAATAAATGGGGTGCAATTTTGGTAAGTCTTGACTTCACTAGTGACTCCCCTTTTCCTTCCATATTGGCCGATTTTTCCTTGGCAAAGGGGCCTCCAAAAACCATCCACATGCATTGCTTGAAGAGGAGGATTCAAATAAATTGGTAACTCCTATCCTTGGCCTTAGTTGGAGACTTTATTTTTGGAATTCAAGATCCTCCCCTTTGCATTAGACCAATTTTTCTTGAAGGCTAAGATATTTATTTTTGTCCAGGAGTCACTCTCTTCTTTCTCTCGTCCAAGTTCTCCCCTCAGCCCGCGAGCACCAACAACCGTTCATCACCCTTTCTTCGGCGACCAACAGCCCTTCGCAGCACATCCCAGCCGCGCGCGCGCAAGCCGCGAGTTCGCGCAGCCCAACTGCGGCCCCTTCCGTACGCGAGCCCCGACCAGCATTTGGGCACCAAGACGATGAGCCCTCCTCCCCGTTCATGAGTTTTCTGATCGGCCGCTCTCCGCCTTCGTCGAGCCTCAACAACGAGCACCCCTGCCTCAGTCGCGAGTCAACCACAGCGAACAGCCTTCTCGACGTTCAACACTCCTTAGTCGCGCGCAACCAGCCCTTCGCTGAATGCCCAGATCCGCCGCGCACCATGCCATGCCTCCCTCGCGAGCAGTACCGTACGAACCACGACTATTCTTCGGTCACGTACGCCTCCAGCCACCCGAGCCAACGCCGAAAAACTTCAGCCGCATTCGACCGCCACTTCGCTCTACCCCGCGCATCGTCAGACCACGCGCACGCCTCCCCTGCCAGCGACAACTCGCGAATGGATCTCCACGCTTGCTCTGCACGACGAACCTCCTCGCACAGCCTGGCCTCTGTCCCCCGTGAGCGATCCTCCATGTGAACGCATAGCCACCAAGGACGACCGAAAACAGCCATCACGTGCATTTGTCGCCGAAGGGTCCAACAACCGCACACTTTACCGAGCACGTTAAATGGGTAAGACTTGTGAGAAGTCGAGCGTGAAGCCGAACTGTTTTATGCTACAGAAGGTCAAAGAATTCAAGGACTTCAACCCGAAGCTACTGTTTGATTTGGGGAAAAGAATTCAAGAGGTGCTCGAGCACTGGGAGGAATTACAAAAGATGGGATGTCTTACTATCACGCATGAGAAAGGAATTGAGAAACTCAAGGATGTCTTAATATTGACTTGGAGGAGAATAATTGAAGAGATTTGTGACGACCTCAGGAGACGAGATGAAGAACTCCCACGGTCTTTCGGGACACCACGAGTTAACTTCTACGAGGTAGTAGTCCGCCTTGGGAAGCAATAGAAGAAAAAGGAGAGGCCATTGGAGTCATAATCTGAGCCAGCAGAAGAGGAACTACGTCTCTTAGGCGAGCCTAGCAAAGGGAGTAACTCGGTACCTGAGGAGTCAAGCCACAAATCTACCGCGCCGTAGTGCGTCTTTTCTGTCTTATCCGAACAGGTGGGTGTTGATAAACCGTACTATTCTTTTATTTCTTATAATCATGTGATTCCATAATCTATGTATGTGCGTGAACCACATATCTATATAATTGACCTCTCGTGCAATAGTGTGTGAATATGAGCAGAGGGATAAGCCAGAGTGAGTCTTATGCTAGAGTGTGTACATATGAGCATAGGATAAGTCGAATTGAGTCCCGTACAATAGTGTGTGCAAATGAGCATAGGCAAGACGGACTGGGTCCTGTTCAAGGGTGTGTACATATGAGTGCAGGGCGAGGGAGGAGATAGATGTGGTGATTTATGTTCATGCTGCGATTATATTGTCAATTATTATCTGAAATATATAGCATAGTATTCCCAAGGTGGGCTTGTTGTTTGCTCACCCCCATTATTACTATCTTTTCAGGTTGAGTTGATGACCGTGGTGATGATGATACGAGGGTGGTCTATCTTATTTTAAATTTGCTTCCTTTTAAAGTTTTCAAAACTCTCATGTTGTTTGGTTGTGAGATTTTTGAACTGGTTTAACTCGAAACAAGATTGCTATGTTGAGTATGGATTATTATCTCGTGGTGCGTTTTTTTTTTCCCAAAATGATAGATAATATTATAAATCAAAATGCACAAATGTGCGAATATACAACAGCCAACTGTTGAATACACAGCAGCCAACAGCTGAACAAAGCCCTTCCCCAGCGGACTAACCAATCCCAGCACAAGACGCCAGCGAACTAAAGACAATCATCCACAACATAACCCGAGATCCAAAATGCAACTCCCGCCACTGCCTAATGCCTAGCAAAGGACGAGTCCCGAACCCTGAGCCACTCCAAGGATGAAGCCGACCCATAGCCAGAGGAACATCAATCAGACCCCCATACGCTAGTTGCCCGAGACCGACCAACATACGTACATCTCCACAGGAGCTCCAATTAATCATCTCAACCCCGGTCGACTTGACTCAGACGAGCCGAGACCCCACCCACTCACCTCCAAGAAGCTACCCACCTCGAACCAGACACACAACGGACGACCTCCCACCGATGACCGGGCAGAGCCGAAGCCAATCACCAATGACTCTACACAGCGAACCAGAAGGCGGGACCACCGGCGTGCTAGGGACAACAAGACCTACCGACGGCGGAGGAGAAGCGCCATCGGTGCAGAAGCACGGGAAAGCGAGGAGTAGGAGCAAGATGACGAGGCTATAAGCCATCCGCCGGCTCAGGGGTCAGCTAATCGCCAGGGAAGGCACAAATTAGGGGCGAATTTGGCGGAAGACGATGGAGAAGATAGGGTTCGGAGGAATTGGACGAAAAGGGGATCTAAGAGATTTTTCTCTCGTGGTGCGTTATTGTGATGTGGTTTTAGACAATGAGATTCCATTAGTTCAAATGTGAATTGAGCTAAGTAAAAATGGTTTTTGAGTAATGCCCGTTAAATGATTTTTAAATGAAAAATGTTTTTCGAAAAATTTATTCCTATTTTTTAAAACGTGAAATTTTCCTTATAAAAATAAATGGGTGTTACATGGTGTATTTATAGACTACAACAGGACCCCTAAGGAGGTGCTAAATATGGGCACCCAAGTAGGAATAGGAAACATAGTATTCACACCTTTTGTTCACACCTTGTATTCATACTTGAATAATAGAATACTAGTGCAATACCCGTGTACTACACGGGTATTTAAATAAATTAACATTTGTACAATAAGAATTAAAATAATTTATATTTTTATTATGAAATTATGTATGATGAATATGCAACAATAATAAATAAGTAATAAAGTGATAATTAATTCAAATGGTGCCCGTATTTTTACACTAAATTTGTCAAAAAATATACTTTTTAATTATATTTTTAAAATTATATATGTATAAACCTGATATTCTTTATAACTCCATATATTTAATTTATTTTTTTAAATAAAACAAGTTTTATTGTATTATGATTATATTTTATAGTTATAGAGTCAATGTCTCACATCTATTAATTTTTCAAGTATTTTAAATTCATATAACTAATAATTTAGAATTTATGAAATAATGTATTATTTCATAACTTTATGAATGAAAAAATTATTTTATTATATTTAATTGTGATAGTCGTTTATATTTACTATTTTAAATAACATAATAACACTCAGTTTTATTATATAATCTATTTAAATTGAGAATAATTTTTTATAATATTTCTTATAATTTATTTTATGCAATACTTAATTTTCATTTTTTATCCAAAAATGTATGCGAAAAATAACAATAAAAGAGTTATTTTATGATGTATGAATGAATTAGATTTCTATTATTTCTATAAAATAATTTATGTTTTTATTGATGTATTTTAAATTGGGTTAATAATAAAAATAGTTTCATTTATATGTATAGATGAAATTATTTTTATTTTATATATGCAATATGGATATAAAATCGAAGATCGTTAAAATATGATTATTTTGGTAGATCAAATATAAAAAAATAAAATACAATAAAAAAGTTTTAAAGCTTAAAAAATAAAAAGAATACATTTTATAATGATTAGTATATGAATTAATTAAAAAAAGATAAGAGTAGTATATGGTAACTTAAGAAAAAAAAAACAAGAAAGCTAAAATAGTTTATGGTAATTCTCAAGCCTAATAGTGAAAACCAAACCTGAACATGTGTCAATACGAAGCACCAATTTATGCCACATAAGCTTAGGAAGCAAACGAGTTTGCCACTTAGGCTCAACGCATTCGAAATTATATATAGGGGAGATTCCACTAGAATAATACTATCACACTCTTCATTTAGCTCCGAATTACAAACAATTCATTCTCATTTTTTAATTGATCGAATTACCTCCACATGTTTAAGATCTAAGGTCCGTCGATTAATTTTAATTACTGACAATATAATTAATCAACATCTCCATTTGGAACTAATACCACTCTGTTCTTTGATATTTTGTCGAAACTAATCCGCCTGCAGGTCTTAACATAATAAACTTTCCCGAGCTCATTTCGGGGACGCCATCAACTAGGCGAACTGGAACATAGTTATAGTAAACAATCTCAACTGCACATCATGGAAAAAATATCACTTACTAAAATATTGAATATGTCAACCTAACAGAATAAGTATCACTTTTAGTAAATCAAACAAGCAAGTGTTGAATACATATGCCCGTTTATTATATTATCGGTTAAGAGAATGCTTCAATCATTGAGGTCTAGAATATTTACTTGGTAAGTATAAAACAATCTTCTCCTCCATAGGCCCGTTCAATACATCCGAGATGCACTAGTATAATTCGTTAGTCAAAGATCAACTAACTCGAAAGTCACACTAGCCTTTCATGACAGATAGTTCAATTCTGTTTAGACCGAGAACAGATACTTATATTTTATAAGGAACCGATAATATGATCTTTCTGTCCGGCTCATATCAAACCATATTATCTACAATATAAAATGAAAAAACTTATGCTCGCGTAAATAAATAAAATGAACACACATATTTGACTAAAACACGAATCTCATTCAAAATGGTATTGTTAGAAACGTAACTTCGAACCTTTATAGTATAACCTAACAAAGCTCACTATCACTTGTTGATTATGAAGTTTCATGTGGATACATCTTGGTAGTGCTTTTCTCACATCCACTGTAACAAGTAACAAGCTACCCCTTGTTCCCGCATCCTTGATAACAACAACATTTCTAGTCTTCTTAAAAATTTTCCCAACATGTACCCAGAGATTTAGTTCAGCAAATCCCTGATGAGATTCAGTTAGCCCCTCTTCCCATTCTAACAGTATCAAGCATTGATTCTCAAAAATCCAATTCACGTCATTCACCACCTTTTTTTTTTTTGTCCTCAATATTGCCAAAGATCAATTGAAAAAAATTGTTGCGTAGCTCTCTTACCTCTAGCTGGTGTTTTATTTGACAAATTGCATTCATACTTTTCCTACCTCCAATCACGCTTGCCTTTCTTTCTCTGATGATTTTTCTCTGAGTACATTCCTCAACACTAGCTTAACATCCTCCGATCCCAATTCAATTACCTCCTTCTCTCATTCCGACAAATCTATTTTCTTCAATCTATCTCCAAGCTCCTCCGTTCCTCCCGCAGAACCAGGAGACCCCGTCACTGTAAAATCCATCGTAGAGCCTGCACAAAACAACCCTGTTAACAGGGTGTAGTCAGAAATTTTTTTAACCTGGGGTTGCATATTATTGTAGCTATTATAGTATAGACATGATCATGAGTCGGCCCGGCCCGTCCGTTTGTCCCGAACCGACAGAAACCGACTCATTGACCATGGATCTTAAACCGGCCCGTGATTTTGACCAATCTGGTTTATGTTCAATCCTTTATAGTTTATAAATTTTAAACACGCGGTTTCGATTCTGAATTGGAACCG